TAAAATCAAAAATATAAAATAGTAATATAACATGAAATAATAAAATAATATATATTTTTAATATAAATATATAAAATAAAACAAAATTAATAAAATATAAATATATAATTAATTGAGTTGATGTTTATGACAAAAAAATGATTGGCACAAAATTTAAAACAATCAACACCCCCTCTAAAGGGGTGTCATTAGCACCCCCCAAATAATAATTGGAAACCTAATTAAGGGGTGCCGTTAGCAATGGGGTGGGATGCCATTAGCACTCCCCCATATTTTAATGTTAAGATCTTATCTCTTGATTCTCTAAATTATAAGTTTTTCAATCATTCCTAAGGGATTGACAGCGCCGAATGAACATAAGTGGGGCCTCTTCTCTTCCCTCGCAACTAACACCTTTTTGGTTTGGCATATTTAAAGGTAAAATTCTAATCTATTAAAATATATAGTATGCAACAATTTATCTGATAAATATTAATTGAGTAAAAGTCGTTACCTTTATTAACCCTTATGGTACTCTCGGTCCTAATTGTCATCGCTTTAAAGATTTGTTTGTTTACCTTTTAATAATTCTATTAAAAGACAGCATTTGAACCGTTAAGTAATGAATCTTGTTTGGTAAAAAAAAGTCTGTCTCTTAATGGTTCTAAAACTCTATGAATGATTTTATATCATGTGCTTCCCTTAACCATTAAGCGTCTTAATTTCATTGTAAACAATTACCATACAATTATATTTCATTTTGCACTATATCGTGAAAGCCTCTTAATCATTCAAACAACTTAATTATTCTGCACCAAACCATTCAGCAACTGCCAAACAGTTCCTAATATTCATCTGGTATCAACATTTCATGTCTGGTGTAAACCGTTGCTTATAAAAGCATTGCTTCATGTTTGCATTTGGACATATCAAAGATCAAGATCAAGGCTCCATGGGTTCTCAGCCAGAGCAGCCACATGCACTGTGCATACCAGCCCCAGCCCAAGGCCATATCAACCCAATGCTTAAACTTGCCAAAATCCTCCATTCCAAAGGTTTCATGATCACCTTCGTCAACACCGAGTTCAACCACCAACGACTCCTCCGATCCCGAGGCCCTGACGCCCTCTGTGGCCTCCCGTCCTTCCGTTTTGAGACCATTCCCGATGGCCTTTCGTTGCCACAAAACCTTGATGCCACCCAAGAGGTTTCGTCTCTAACCAAATCTATCGATGAAACCTGTTTGGGTCCGTTTAAGAGTCTGATCAACAAACTGAATAAGTCTTGTTCGCCCGTGACTTGCATAGTGGCCGACCTGGTTATGGTATTCACCCTCGATGCCGCAAGGGAATTGAACATCCCGGCGATACTGTTTTGGACAAGCGGAGCGGGTTCTCTAGTATGTTACGATGAGTACCCGAATCTTTTGGAGACGGGTTTGATGCCTCTCAAAGGTAATTAATATACTCTCATTCTTCTTTCACATATCATATCATCAACCTTTGTATATCGTTTTCATAGATATAGAAGGACCGGAGAATTCAGTAATTTGTGATAACTGTGATATCTAACCAGTGGCGAATCCAAAAACTTCTATTATTGGGGTCCATTTAAGAGTGTAAAAAAAAATCTGAAACTAAATAACTCATTCGAACCAATACGATTTTGGGTTATTTGGTTTCCGGATTAAACGGTTCAGTTATCGAATAAATATAACTTATTCGGTTTGGTTTTCAATTAATTTTTGACTATTTTGGATAAACCGAGACATCATATTGCCATGTACATATTTTACTTTTCTGTTAAACTAAAGCAAATGAACACACTACACATTAATAGTTAGTAGCAAGAAATTAGAGGGCAAGAGGTCGATAACTTAGATTCAGTTAAAAAGAAATCAGATAGCAAAAGACCAAGAAATCGAAAATAAATGACAAACTAATAGCAAACCTTAAATCAAAATAACAAACCCAAATTAAATAACAAATTAAAGAAATGTTTATTGGGGATTTGAAGTTAGCTTGTCGGGGGCCTGTGCCCCTACCCCTTTAGTGTGCATCCGCCACTGATAACATTCTCAACCTTTCATTATAATTAGTAATCAATGGTTATATTAATAACGTTAATTTTGCTAATTATCCATTAATTTTCAAAAGAATTAAGTTTATGGATAATATTTTTTTTTTGTAAATCTCTTTGCTCTTCTTACTTCGGCGAACACTATGAAGATACACACTGTGATACCTAAAAAATATTATTTAAAAAGGATACATACAAACTATACAGACTATGATACCTCAATATACATACAAGATGTACACTGTGATACCTTAAGATGTACAGTATTAAAAAAAATATTCATAAAATACATACAAAATACAGAATGTGATATCTAGTTATTTTCAATAATATTATGAATAGTGATCGAGGGTTTGCCAACGCGACCTTCGACATGATTCCAAAAATAATTGATGGGCCATGGAACTGATATTATTCGCAATCTGGGGGAAGGTTAACGACACTCCTATCTTTTATTAATTGTGTCCTTATATCTGATGTAATTATTATTATTTTTGTTTTTTTTTATATTTTTGTTATTTTTTAATACTAATTCTTTTTGTTATATTATTTAATTATAAATACATTACTATCATAAATATTATTTTATTATTATGTAAAAGACCTAATACTAAAAAACATTATTTTTTTTTATCATAATTTCTATAAAAAAATATTATATGACTTTTTCCTTTTAATATTTTTTCTTAAAAAATATTACTTTTTTTTAATAATTATTTTTTAAGAAAAAAAATATTTTTCTTTTTCTAATAACGATACTTAAAAACATAATTTTTTAATAGTTATTTATAAAAAATATTTTTTTTATATTACAAAACTACATACTAAATTCAATATAATAATAATATTGTTAAATCCTTACGTATTATAAGAAGATTTATTTAACAACTATGTAGTTAGATTAAAAATATTGTTAGATCCTTATGTATATCGTGTTCACAAATTTCTTATAGTTATGCTCCTAATTGATCATTTATGGTAGTTAATTTAGATGAAAAATAATGTGGTTGACCTGATTACGTCGTCTGCACATTATCAGGTTCCTCACGTATATTATTACATGTGATAAAGGGTGTTCTTGATTCTCGTAAAATGGAGGAGTTCTTGTTTGAACCTCCCCCCCCACCTATATATATATATATATATATATATAGGAGCGATCAAATGCAAACCATTTATTTTGTACAAACCGTGCAAACCACCCTCATCCGTCGATTTCATTGTTTAATATTATGAAAAAATTTCATGAAATTGTTTCATATAATATTTTTTTTTGATTAAGTTGTTTCATATATGGTTATGAAATTGTTCATATAATACTTAATGAAATTTTAATGAAACTGTTTCATGTATTTATCTAAAATTAAAATAATGAAGATGATAATATCAATGATTAACACCCTCTACAATAAAAATGATTAATTAACCTCTCATAATTACAAAAAAATGAACAAAATGAAAAATTATGATTGGTTGAATGAGATTTGTACGGTTTGTATAAATAACGTGGTTTGTAAAGTAAATATCCTCTCTCTCTCTCTCTCTATATATATATATATATATATATGTATATATATATATATATATATATATATGTATATATATATATATAGAAGGACCGGAGATTCAGTAATTTGTGAAAACTGTGACATCTAACATTCTCAACCTGTCATTATAATTAGTAATCAATGGTCATATTAATAATGTTAATTTTGCTAATTATCCATTAATTTTCAAAAGAATTAAGTTTATAGATAATATTTAGAGGTAGTCTTTTTGTAAATCTCTTCGCTCTCCTTACTCCAGCGAACATCAAGAAGATACACACTGTGATATCTAAAAAGTATCATTTAAAAAAGAAACATTCAAACTATACACACTGTGATACCTCAATATACATACAAGATGTACACTGTGATATCCTAAAATGTACAGCATTAAAAGAAGGTATTCATAAAATATATATAAAATACACAATATGATACCCTAGAATATGTGGCCCAAGATAACACCCAAAAAACAACAAAAATACATTATAATACTCATAATATTATAATAATAATATTCATAATGAATATGAATAGTTATTTTCAATAAATCGTCGGTAAAAACATGACAAAATTCAAGATTTTTAAATTAATTAATTTGGATGGTGGTTGAGGCTTTGCCAACGTGACCTTCGACAATGATTCCAAAAATAATTTATTGCAATCCGGTTGAGAAATTTGATATGATTTTTTCTTCATAATTTAATATCCATAATAATTTAATAGATTTTATCGTGATGCAAATATCGTCACATGTGATAATATGAGTTCTAGCTCGAGTTTGAATTTACAGAATTGCAATCTAGCTCCAGCTGACTTTGGTTTACTACTCGCGAGTTTTCAAGTCGAGTTCGAAATTTAGAAATGACTATCGAGTTCGAATCGAATATATCGATACTCGAGCTGGATTCACATCATTAATTTACACCCATACACATGGGTGCCCCAGGCAACTTGGCCCGAGATCAAGATCGTGTATAATCACAATTGGTTTTACATGCGAGTTCAATATAAAATCACATGTGATTCGGTTGTTTTCGTGTTTTTTTGATTGGTCACCATCGCGTTTTTGAACCAACCCCTCTCTCTCTCTCTCTCTCTCTCTCTCTATATATATATATATATATATTGCATTTCATTTGGCAAACTTGTTCTCTTAGGTAGCGTTTGGTACGCAGACTGGACGGGACGAAACATGACTAATTGTCCGTCCTATGTTTGGTAGAACTAGGTCCCATGTTGTTACACCATTTTTAGTTTTGTCCCATGAAATTTAAAAATAGTCTCATCTTGTCTTATGTATTTTTTGTCCATGACATGTCAAACATGAGACTATTTTATTTTGTCCCGTCCCGTCCCATCTCATACAGTCTGCATACCAAACGCACCCTTAATTACCTTCTCTTTATAGTTTCAATTTGGTTTTCTAAAAATTAAATGGTTGTGCAACCACTGTTTTTTATTTGACTTATGCAAGTTTTAAAATTTAGGCTTGAAATGCTTATTTGAGTAAGTGCTTACCAATTTACATTATTTTATCGGATGAACATGGAAATGACCATGAATCTTACCCGGTAAGAGCGAGGCAAGAACCTAAAGTCTTACCCGGTAAGTGAGGACAATGACTCTTACCCGGTAAGTGAGGGCAATGACTCTTACCACGGTTAGCTCTAACCAGGTAATTCGTTGCATAGAAAGCCCTTTTTTGTTGACTAAAATCTTACCCGGTAAGTAAATGATGGTGTTGAATTTTACCGCCAGATGCTTACCGGGTAAGTGTTTGGTAAACGGCTCTTTAAACGTAAAAGTATTTGATAGAAACATGGACAAACAAGACATTCAAGTTCTATATGATACTTAATCATTTGTTCTTCGATCTACAGATTCGAGTTTTTTAACGAACGGTTATTTGGATACGATCATCGACTGTATCCCTTCGATGTCCGGAATGCGTCTAAAAGACATTCCCCCTTTCATTCGAATTCTCTATCCTGGCGACGAGTACTTGGTACAATTTTTGTGTTCCGTAACAAAGCGAGCAAAATCAGCAGCCGCAATCGTTTTCAACACTTTCCATGAACTCGAACACGATATCTTAGGCACACTCACTTCGAAATTCCCTCCTTGCTACGGAATCGGCCCTTTGAATTTACTCGAAAAAAAATTCCCAAACGAATCTCTAGCGTCCATCAAATCAAACCTTTGGAAAGAAGAGCTCGAATGCGTAAAATGGCTAGACTCAAAATCACCATCGTCAGTTATTTACGTGAACTTTGGCAGCATTACCGTGATAACACCTCAACAAATGGTCGAGTTTTGTTGGGGACTCGCAAAGAGCAACTATCCGTTTTTGTGGATAATACGACCAGACCTCGTGATCGGCGACAAAGCTGTACTTCCACCCGATTTTTTGGTCGACACAAAAGATAGAGGGTTCTTAGCCAATTGGTGCCCCCAAGAACAAGTTCTAAAACACCCGTCGATAGGAGGGTTTTTAACGCATAGTGGATGGAATTCGGCGATAGAAAGCATTTCTAATGGAGTCCCGATGCTTTGTTGGCCGTTTTTCGCGGACCAACAACCGAACAGTTGGTTGAGTTGCAGCAAGTGGGGGGTTGCGATGGAGATCGACAGCGATGTAAAGAGCGATGAAATTAGAAAGCTAGTAATCGAGTTGATGAACGGCAAAAGGGGGAATACGATTAGGACGAATGCCGTTGACTGGAAGAACAAGTCGGAGGAAGCATGTGCCTTCCCTTCTGGTTCATCAATGGTGAACTTGGAGAAGATCATTCAGCTACTGCAAACGTCTTTACCATGATACACAATGTCTGTTTGAGATGCTTGTCTGTTTGTTTTTCTACTTAATCAAGTTCTTTCACTCAAAAATACTAAAAATGGGGTCTTCCGACGGCCAAATCCGTCGGAAACCAAGTTTCCGACGGATTGGGTGGCCGAAAAACCCCATGCTAAATGCAATTTCCAACGGATTTGTATTTTCTGACGGATTTGTATTATCCAGACAAAATACTATATAAAACAAATTGTTCAACAAAATTAACGATTGTTCGGTGACAATAGTTCATAAATACAATATTCATAAATACAATCAATGCATCATATCATCCTTGTAACATGCATCATCCACTAGAGTTTCAAGTTCCTCAAGTACCATAAACATTGTATCCCCTTCTTCAGTTTCATAGATGAAATTTGCATCTTCACTTGCAATCTCTTTTCGTTTCTTGCAGTATTTCATCCGGGACGTTCCAATCTTTTTGGAGGCCCTGTTATATCCAAAACTTTATATTACATTGCATAAATGAGATGACAGAGAATAGATGTTAAAAATAAAAATGGGCTAAGCCTAAAACAATTAACAATCTGAAACTAAACCTAAACCATTAATGATTTGAACCTAAAACCAAATAATTAATGGCTTGAACCTAAATAATTTCGGCTATAGTTTTACACATGTTGATAAAAAGACCCAACATGTAAATTTGGGCCCCAAAATTTCGGGGGATCTGTTCCAAATCTCACATTTAACGTCTACTACTTGATAAATGGCTTATCTACTACTTGATAAATGGAGAGGTTCATTATAATACATGTAAATTTAACGTCTCTACAAATTTACATGGTTCTAGAAATCTTCAACGGACTCGGATTCCCTCATTCCAAGTCCATCGAATTCATAACGTAAGGTTTGCAAACGTACCATTTTAACTTTGTCTTCTCCACGTTAAGTCTTGTACAACATATCCCACGCATCCTCTGATGTAAGAGACGTTGAGATCCTCTCGAAAATGGCTTATCTACTACTTGATAAATGAAAAATAACGCTTTCCGATCTTCTTTTAATTTTGTGTTTTGTTGGGACGTTAAAGCCGTAGAATTCTTGTAACCCATCCTCAACCAAATTCCATAGATCTTGAGATTCAAAGAACACCTTCATTCGAATACTCCATTGGTGACAGTTTCTACCGTTTAACTTCGGAAGTTGCGCTAGAAAAACATTGTTGTTTGAAGTCATTAGAGTTTTAATCTTTCCTGCTTTTTTTCCCCTTTTTTTGTGATTTTGAACACAAGCTCTGATACCACTTTGTTGGATCAAAACAAGAAACAACACAAAAAATACTACTATGTTGGAATAAACAAGAAGAACAAGACTGCAGATCAAAGGATTAAATTACAGCAGTTATATATATATATATATATATATATATATATATATATATATATATATATATATATATATATTTTATGTATATATTATATGTATATGGGTTGGGTTCACGTGAGACCAACCTGTTTTCGTGAGACCCGTGAAACCACATTTTTACACGTAAACTTCACAGCAAAAACACTGGAAGGTTAAAAAAGTCACCTTCACAGCATTTTGCTGTGAAGTTTCAAGTGTAAAAAGATGGTCTCATGGGTCTCACGAAAACAGACTGGTCTCACATGATCCCAAATCATATATATATATATATGTATGTATGTATAGATAGTTTGCTGTGAGATATGCAAAGAATATTTTATTATTACTGCAGCACCTTTTCATATTCAACAAACACACATATATATACATACGAAGCGACAGAATTTTGACCAACATAATGATTTGTGAACCAACACAACTATTGGTAAGTGATTAAAGTTAGAAGTCTTACACTATAATTTATTTTATTAGGTAAGATTGTAGTACATCAAAACGTATCATATGCAACAATTTACCTGGTAAGCGCTACCCGGATAAGAGTCGTAACCCTCACTTACCGGGTAAGACTCTCCATCCTTATCATCGCTCTTACCGGGTAAGATTATTGGCCCTTACCATGTTCATCCGGTGAGGAAAATTACCCGATAAGTACTTACCGGATAAGCATTTAGTAAACGGCCCTTACCCTCTTCCCAACAACCAACCCCAAACCATCCGACCCGTTCCAGAAAACCTTTACAGCCTCAAATTTCTTGACCTCACCACAAACCACCCGATGCCTACTACACTTGTACCTTCAACTGTTACCCAGGCTCAAAAAGATTCCCAATGGAGAAAGGCAATGGATTCTGAATTTAATGCCTTACTGCAAAATGGCACTTGGGAGCTAATGCCCAAGACAAATCATGTTCCGATTGGTTGCAAATGGATTTTCTGAATAAAGCGCAAACCGGATGGATTTATAGAGCGATACCAAGTTCGCCTTGTGGCAAACGGATATTTGCAACAACCTGCACTACCACGAACAAAACTCAATTGGCAAATCATTAGATCCCGACAATAATTTCACAAGTAGCTAAAATGTTACCCGCATAATGTTACAGGAAGTAAAATTATTATAAAATTAAGCTAACTACCGGAAAGAGAATGATATGATTTTAAAAGCTCAGAATAGGGATGTAAATGAATAACATAAAACTCGATTAAACCAAACCTCAATTCCAAATTGAAATAAATGGAATATTGTGGGTTTCTAGTTACCAAAAGATATCACCAATGGACTTTGGCCAAACCTACCAACTTCCATTAAAGGCAAAAAACAACATCCACAAGAGTTATCTAGAATAGATAAAAGTTGAACAACATACACAAAACAACCAATAACACAAACTACATCAAACCAAATGCCATTATCTTATCATTGCTAGCCGATGCAACCAAACCTGTAACCGTTAAATATACCAAACCTACAATTAGTCCCTCATGCGCCAACAGTCCGACATGTTTCGTAGGTCCACTGTCATTGTCTTGTCCCATATCATTCGCTGCCAATTGACATATCTGCAATAACAAAAAGCCAAAATTCTATAGAGATTAATAAAAAACCAAACAAAACCAATAAAGCTAATTCACATATATCCTTCATCCCATTTTAAAAATCCACAATATGATCACCTCACCAAGAACAAACTAATAATTATAAGAAACGAATCAAATGGTTCAACGATTTGCTTACAAATGATTGTTGCTAGGATTTTTTATATCTCGTCTTCCCGGGTTTGAATCAAACCCAGGCGCTACCAAAGCCCATAATATTGAGATAGGTGTTTTATTTAGTTTGAGTTCTTGACTTGATAGAGTTGGATCATGAAAAAGGCAACAATAACATCAAGCGCCTAAATGATCCAAAGTAGTATATTACAATTACCATCAAGGAAAAGAGAAAATGCAACAATAGCATCAAACCCATCAAAGTTTATGTTCATATCTGTGTCAACAAGGCAATATAAGTTGCATACAAGCTGAAATCAAATGCATAATTAAGTAGATGCAAAATTAACAATGAGAATAGTCTGAAGTTCTAATCAAATGCATAATATCATGCTTGATGTTTTGAGATGGCTCATGCAGCATCACAAGTGAATGAAGGTGAGATAGATGGCTCATACAGCACCACAAGTAAATGAAGTTGATACATCATAACCTTATCTTTTCTTTCTTTCTTTTGGCAAGATCCCATTGGTTTTAGTTATAACCTGTTGCTTTTGATCTTATCACAATCCATAACACCAGTGAACACTCAACACAGACAATAATTAAGGGGCCGTTTACCAAAAACTTACCCGGTAGGTGCTTACGGGCAAAAATTAACACTATCATTTACTTACCGGGTAAGATTTTAGTCCATCAAAACGGCAACGTATGCGACAATTTACCGGTAACACTACAACAAAATCGGGTTTATAGGACACTCCCAAATTCTAAGTGTCCTAATAGACCTCTTTATAGGACTTAGTTTATAAGACCAAAAAAATAAAGTGTCCTATCTAAAGGTGTTATAATAAGTTTATATGACGTTTTTTGACGTCGTAATAAGTTTTTTAAGACACTTTTAATATAAAACGTCCCATTATCAACTTTATAGGACACTATTTGAAAAACTGTCCTATAAAAAATTGAGTTTATAGGACACTTTCTCAAAAGTGTCCTATAAAGTTGCTAATGTGATACTATGTATTAAAAATGTCCTAAAAAACTTGTTAAAACGTCTAAAAGCGTCATATAAACTTATTACAACACCTTTAGATAGGACGCTTTATATTTTGGTCCTATAAATTAAGTCTTATAAAACGGTTTATTGGGACGCTTAGAGATTGAGAGTGTTCTATAAACCCAATTTTGTTGTAGTGTCAGCATTTACCGTGGTAAAAGTCGTTGCCCTCACTTACCGGGTAAGATTCTTGGTCCTTGTCTTGCTCTTACGGGGTAAGTACCATATTCATCCGATAATGTAATGTGATTTGATAAGCCCTTACCCGGGTAAGCGTTTGGTAAACGACCCCTAAGTCTGTTTTAAAAAGAAACATAAATATACTTTTGTTTGAAATAGAATTAGAAATATAAATATATTTTAATCAGTAAGTCCTCTTTTTAGCAAGAAATAGACAGTTACTAAGGTTCAAACAAATTTTTATAAAATTAGATAAAAGAGAAAGGACAAACCTGTGGAACTTCAAACCTCGCACTACAACCTCCTAATCGTACATCATTCTGTATGATTATTCCTCTTTCTCACAAGAAATGGAAATTTTGAGTCTACGACACATCTCGAAGCATTCTTCGGCTACCTCACAAGAATACGTAAATATTTTTGCATCTTTTCCCCTGAGAAAACACAATCAAAGATCAATTACTTTTGTCCTAAACTCCCATTCTCATATGAAGAATCGATAGATGAAGATATTAGTAGTTTCTATTCAACGAATTCAAAATTATTGCATCAATAGTCTCTCAACTATACAGAAAGTTATGTTCTTTCACAACCACACTATCTCTTCTTAGGGTTTGGACTCAATTTACAGCTTCAATTTCGAGGCCGGAAGAAGTTTGGCGTAAAGGCCAAAAGCTAGACCAAGCAAACAAGAATGTTAAAGTGCTAAACAAGCCTGGACATGTAATCCCTCTTCGGTATAAAAAAATTGTCAAAGTTAAACTTCATGAAAGATTACGACTTCCAATCAAAATTGGAACGTTTTTATATCGAAATGCAGAGACTTTTGATGGTTAATGATAAGAAGCACAAAAAAAACACTATCGAACACATTGAAAGTTGAAATTATCGAACCTGATTACAATGAATGACAAGACACACCTAGAAAACCCTAGGATGAGCGAAGAAGATGTGTGTATACGGGAGTGAAGAATGATGAGCTTTAGGAATGGGAATCACCGGATATGGTTAAAGGAACTACCATATTGAGAAGATCAATAGCCACATTGGGAACAATAAGAAACCGGAGTACATCAATAGCCACGTTGAGAAGATCAATAGGCGTCTACATATCTTGTAGAGATCAAAAACTTAGACACTGGATATGCAATAAGCAAACCTAGTAGTGTTTGTATCCGGTGTCAGTTTTCTTTCTTAACCTTCTACCGGATACAAACACTATTGTTGGTTATTTTGGGATTGTTTTGATACAAACACTGTTGTTGGTTCTTTGGTTTCTAAAGAATGGTATAATGTTGGGATGGTATGGAACTGTTGGATGAAATATGTTCCTTTTGGATCCTATAAGACCATTGTTTGGTGTCTGGCTTGGCTTTTGTGTCTTATGGCCGATGATATTGGGATGATTCTAAAGTTGGGTTTGATTGGAACAAAAAACATGACTGAGGATCTTTTTGATTCCTATTTCATTACCAACTGGAAACGGGTAATATTACATTTTAGCTCATGAAGATCTCTATGTTTATGTTAGTCCATCAAACCTGTGTAGGATATTGCAACTATTATCTATTGAATAATAAGCTAATAACATCTATTCATTTAATGAAAATCCTGCGCTTGCAATATTTATTTTTTTAATTTATAATATAGTGCCGACGTGCTTTCAAAGAATGTGGTGGAATTTTAAGTTTATTTCAGAATCTTATGTCCAATACAGTACATAGAATCTGGTATTAGATATTGGCATCTTTCTGCAGCCTTAAGAAGGAAAGAATAATAATCTGGAGGTAAAATTTGCATAACTAGCTCAAAACAAAGCGAAGGGTCTTTTAACTTCTGTTGCTACACTACCACATTATTGAGTCCTATTGGAACTCCTAAACTTATGTCGATATACTTCTTGAATTTATTTGGGTGCGTTTGTTTGAAGTGGCATAACTGGTTTAGACAGTAATGACCCTATCCCTATGATGCCACAATGGATTTTCAATATTAAATCTAATTCAATTTCAGACAAAAATTGGTGACATAAGACGGGGCTTATCGGGTCTTAAACAGTGCTATATTACAAAAAGGCGTTGGCTTTATAGTGATTGGGAAGATCGGATTTGGAACTCAAAAATGAACTCAAACACGAAACAAATACTTAGAACTCAAAAATGAAATAGGAGCAAAAGTAACACATCCGATTTATTTAACCTCTTTATTACTCAAAGCCTGTGGAAAGTTTGGAGTGGCATAACTGGTTTAGACAGTAATGAAACTGTTAACCAGTTCCCTAATATGATTCAAAAACCTGTTGGTGTCATATGGAAACCTGTTGGATATTGGATATTGGATACTGGATACTGGTCTAGTCATATAATGAACCATCACTATGGCAGCCAACCATCTATTCCTATGTTGCCAAAGTGGATTCTTCAAATTTCTTGCATAATCCCCTATGGAATACAATTTGTATTATTAGGAGGGGACTTGATACACTCAATTTGGACTGGTTCTACTGTGAATCAACATTCTGGCAGCCAACCATCTATTCCTATGCTGCCACAATGGATTTTTCAATATCAAATCTAATTCAATTTCGGACTAAAATTGGTGATATAAGATGGGGCTTATCGGGTCTTAAACTGTGAACAGTTGGCAAGAATTGAAACCCAATTGATCAATGATGCAAGAAGAGAGGAAACAATGTTACCTGGAAAGTGATGGATTGAGGAATCGATGTTGAATTGGTACATAGTAATGAACTCGGATGGGGTACACAGTAATGAGTTGGGCCAAGCTAAAACAGTAAACAGACAAAAGGTTAATAAGTGTCATTGGTTTAGATAAAACAAACAACAAAGAGGAAACATATCTATGAACTATAATCCATACAATTATGAACTGCACAAACTGCACTCGTTGTCCACATTATAAAGATTAGATTATAAAGAATGCGATTGAGATAGATATAGCAACCAATGCAAGCCAAATAACAGAGATAGATATAGCAACCAATGCAAGCCAAAAACCTTGTCAYTTGCCTCACATAAAACATCCGTCTTGAGAAAATTACTTCATTTATTTGATTCTACTGTACTATCCACTGTGTAGTAAGTTCACAATTTTTACCAACAGTAACATTGTAGTTGGAACCTAGGGTCCATATAAGTTGATTAATATGTCACTTAATGAGCAGATGTTTATAGTTTAGTTTGAAGAACCATTAAAATTGATTCTTAGTAAACAAAAGAGGGAGATTGGCAATCTATTGCAACAAGTCTACTCTTCACAAATCCATGGTATGGGCTAGAAGCCAAGTAACTAAACTTGTGAGAGTAGGAGGGTGAGCTGCCTAACCTTATTGATGCTTATGTCAACTTTCTCAAACACATGCTTTATGGGACTCTGCTTATTTACAATTCTTTAACAAGCGGTGCCTTTTGACTTCCAGAAAATTTAGTAGAGAGCAAAAATTTAGAACTCAAAAACTATGCAATAAGCAAACCTAGTAGTGTTTGTATCTAGTGTCACTTTTATTTGTTAACCTTCTACTGGATACAAACACTACTGTTGGTTCCTTGGTTACTATTTTGGGACTGTTTTGATACAAACACTGCTGTATCGGGTATTGTGGTCTGTTACAAAAAGCCGATGGCATTATAGTGAGTGGGAAGATTTGATTTGGAACTCAGAAATGAACTCAATAACGAAACAAAAACTTAGAACTCAAAAATCAAAAAACTCAAAACTCAAACACAGGTGGGAACAGGGGAAACACCTTTGAAGCATTTTCTCAAGCACCTTGCGGTAACATGGGAAAACATGAAATCTAAAAGAAAATCCAATACAATTAGAAAAAAAAAAAAGGAAAAAGCAATACAATTACCTGGAAATGGAAATCCCGGAAAGATAAGTGGCCATGAAGGGCGAAGGAAGGCTGGAATGCCAACATGCGTCTATTATTGCACTAGGCAGGCGTCAGCCCCCATACATGGTCTTACGACTTCGAAAAAAATCTGTTGATAAATGAATCCTAATTTGTTGACTATTACTTATCAAATCTTGCTGATCAGAAGAACAGGGGAAACACCTTTGAGTGTGGAACAATCATATGTATCGGCTGGATCAAGTGGAAGAGGAGCGGTAGAAGGAGAGGAGCGATCGTTTATAAACCTGAATCATTGGTTTAGGGGACTGAATCGTCATCTCTGTAGGAGGAGAGCCAGAGAAGCATCGGAAATTGGATGAGGGTGGAGCGCCGCTCCTTGGACAGAGAGAGAGAAAGAGCGTTGTTATCAATGTGTGCTTGACAGAGTAGTACGAAATGCAAAAGATGTTTTTAAGACTTTAAACTCTATGCATTAGAAGGTAGTACTAAATACATTAGATGTTTTTAAGACTTGTGTTAAATCTCATTGATAAGGTAGTATAGATATATATTATGTTAAAGATTAGAAGATGAGTCCTTATATACAAAATTGTAATACCTGATCCACATATTAGCAATTAAATCCTCTTCATGAAAGAATGATCAAGCGAGGTACACGAATGTAGGCTTGCTATAGAGGAAGCTGATCATTTCGTTAGCTACATCCACCATGGGGATTCTGTTCTCCAAGATTTACAAGAAGAAATGACATAATTAGTTTTTGTGTGTAAAATCACAGAAGTAAATATACCACGTCGTTGAAGAATTAACGAGATAGAAGCCATACCCCTTGTCCCACTGCATTGTGTAGAGATCACAGCTCTGTTATACAGTTCACGTCTTTCTGATGTTCTACTTCCTAGACGCCTCAGGTTTGAATCTTTCTCATCTGTTTTTTCTTCATACACGTATGTATTTGCAGGGACCTTTACATCATAACCTAGAGTTTCATCAAAATCGTTACCATCAACATGCACCAAGTTCCCATASTCAGAGATACAAGTGTTAAGTTGCTGAATCATTTCAACGTCTTCTTTGTATACTACATGTGCCCCACATCTTACAGATTTATTACCGTTTGTTTTAGCTAGAGTCATGACAAGACTACCTTGGATATGAGACCAATCTTGAGGTTGTAAATCATGATACATTTGCTGAAAGAAACCAAATGGTATATAGGTAACCCAGATGTTACAGTTCTCAGTTGCTGCAGATTCAATATGATCAACCTCTAACTTAGGAACGACCTTCTTGTCATTTACAATTCTGAAGATGATTCTAGGATAATCATATGTCCAGTTTCCGTGAAACACGCCACATATTGCAAATCCAATGACTTGGGTATGCAGCATGGGAGGTAACCGTAATGCAACAGTGCACCCATGTTGTTGTTCTTCAAACCAACTTGGAATCTTGCTTCCAGGAACACCGATACTTAACCGATGACCTACAGCAGCACATCTCTGTAGTCAACAGAAAGCATCATTAATGTATGCTATAAGATGAATATWAAAAATGTTGTATTAAAAATAGAGCTGCAATTGTTTGGGTTAGGCACAGTATTTTTATTACATCAAGGATGCGAGTTGACTCATGAGAGAGAAATTTGCTACCTTTAAGAAATATTGCTCCAGCATCTTATTAATGTATGGTCCGTTCTCTTGATTTTCTAGGAGTTTGTGGCAATCAAAGAACCATACATTATACAGCCATACATACTCATTTGATAGGTCTCCAATCTTTGCCAGTGAACTGCAACCTCTGGCCCTCAATACTTGTATTCCTGATGGAAGAGAATGCAAATTTTGAAGTCGGCAACACTTATTCAACTCTAGGAGCTTAAGATTTGAAAGACTGGAGATTCCGGCAGGAAACTGGGTTAATTGAGAGTTCCCACTTAGATGTAATTCTTCCAAGGAAGAAAATGCATGCAAATTTTGTGGGAAGTCTTTCTCTTTTAGTTGTCTACAACTGAGATCCAATTTTCTCAAGGAACACAAATTTGTCAAAGTACCACACATAATAGACTTGGGTAGCCTTGTTCCCAAGTTCCACATGTAATCAGGAAATCCTAGTAAAAACTCTTCTAAGTTTTTCAAGCTTCCAAGCTTCTTTGGTAATTTTTCCAGTTTCTTGCAGTTGTTGAGTTGAAGGCGCTTTAGACCCTTTAACTCGCAAACAGAGTTTGGAATCTTCTTAAGTTTCTCACATCCTATCAGATTCAAGACTCTTAGCCCAGACAAATGTCTAATTGATCAAATGTAGGCTTCCCAGAAATGGATGAAGCTCAGCATTTGGTGAGGCCTCTACATCATCTGTGTATAGATGACAGGTCTATTATACACGTCCCGTTTCTGTAATGCTCTAGTTCTTAGAGACATCTCTGAATCCTGATCAGACTTTTCTTCATACACATACGTATTGGCAGAGACCTTTCCCTTATAATCTAGCTCTCCATGATAATCGTCGCCATCAATTTGCATCAAGTTTCCAAAGTCAGAGATACAAGTATT